GCTATTAGCAGCAACTATTACCACATACTACACCTAATAGCAGCAACTACTACCACATACTACAGCTATTACCAGCAACCACTACCACATACTACACCTAATAGCAGCAACTACTACCACATACTACACCTATTAGCAGCAACTACTACCACATACGCTGTAGGTGTTGTCGTGAAGCAAATCAAACATATCCAACTGTAGCTTGTCCAACAGATCAGGTGCACACAGAGCATTCGCTTCCGCCTGCATATCTGGTGTCTGGACGTCTTGCTTCAACAAGTCAACTACGCGTTCGTAGACGTCGAGTATTTGCTTTTTGTAGACACCGTTGAGGTTCACCTACACATGTGTGCAATCAATCAAGTCAAATCCGTCAGCGCGGGTAATGTTGACGCAGTGGTGTGTGTATTGCAGACCAGGGATTTCTAACGGAAGTGCGAATGTATTACATGGAATGACTCATGCAGTTTTACAGTGTATAAAGTTACCAGGCCAACCCGTGTGTGCTCGAGTGTTTGGTGTAGATAACCAATGAGCTTACTACAAACGTGATCAAGAAGAACTTGAAGCTTCATTCCCAACTTAAGACATGTATGCACGACGAGAGGATATTTTACTCAGCATGGAGGTCTACACTTTCTCTCACTTATGCGTGAACATATATATATATATAGATAGATATATATATACAGACACACATACCAACATTGATACACATACCCATCATACTTACAAATATATATATATTTACATATGTATTATATATAAACATATATATATAGATTATAATAATATATCTATATATATATATATATATACATATATAGATACAAGTATATATATATATATCTAGAAACACACACAGAGACACACATACGCACGTTGATACACATACACATCATATGGATCTATATATATATGAATATCTTTAGAAATTAGATATATATACATATTTAGATATATACATTGTGATATCTACGACTAGTCGGCATATATAGATGCACAGATGCACATATAAAAAAACGCATACACGTAGACATACACATACACACATGTATATATATTCATATATATATATATATGCAGATATACTCGTATAGATATATTTATATATATATATCATGTATACATCGATACATGTATGTTTATATATATATACATATATATATAAATATATATATGTGTGTGTGTATTATCTATTATAAATTATATATATGTATATATATATATATATATATGTGTGTGTATATGTATATATATGTATATATATATAGATG